CTGCAATGAAAACCGACAAGAGGACATGTCATTAAAACGTTTCCCTTTCTACCTTTATATAAACACCATCATTCTGTCATTTAGGAACAGTGAAAGCAGGTAATTTGAGCCCTGCAGTTGCTCATAAAGCAAATCTCTCCGTCTCTGTTCTTACAAGCTCATCTTATGCAACGCAGAGAAATGCATCTGATGCCAGTCGAAGCGCTGCATCCGTTGACCTCGAGTAGTCAGTTCACGGAGAATGCATGTTTGCATTCTGTTGTGCTGCTTTTTCATTGTTTTTCTATGTAACATGCTGCAAAAGATGCGACCACTACGTCCGTCTATCGCATCTCACACATGACAAATGGTGTTGTAAAAGCAATTCTGACTTTACATCTCGCAATTCTGACTTTACATCTCACAATTCTGACTTTTCTGACTTTACATCTCGCAATTCTAACTTTACATCTCGCAATTCTGACTTTTCTGACTTTACATCTCGGTATTCTAAATTTACATCTCAATTCTAAATTTACATCTCGCAATTTTAACTTTACATCTCACAATTCTAACTTTACATCTCACAATTCTGACTTTACATCTCGCAATTCTGACTTTACATCTCGCAATTCTGACTTTACATCCCGCAATTCTGACTTTACATCTCGCAATTCTGACTTTACATCCCGCAATTCTGACTTTACATCTCGCAATTCTGACTTTACATCCCGCAATTCTGACTTTACATCTCGCAATTCTGACTTTACATCCCGCAATTCTGACTTTACATCTCGCAATTCTGACTTTACATCCCGCAATTCTGACTTTACATCTCGCAATTCTGACTTTACATCCCGCAATTCTGACTTTACATCTCGCAATTCTGACTTTACATCCCGCAATTCTGACTTTACATCTCGCAATTCTGACTTTACATCCCGCAATTCTGACTTTACATCTCGCAATTCTGACTTTACATCCCGCAATTCTGACTTTACATCTCGCAATTCTGACTTTACATCCCGCAATTCTGACTTTACATCTCGCAATTCTGACTTTACATCCCGCAATTCTGACTTTACATCTCGCAATTCTGACTTTACATCCCGCAATTCTGACTTTACATCTCGCAATTCTGACTTTACATCCCGCAATTCTGACTTTACATCTCGCAATTCTGACTTTACATCCCGCAATTCTGACTTTACATCTCGCAATTCTGACTTTACATCCCGCAATTCTGACTTTACATCTCGCAATTCTGACTTTACATCCCGCAATTCTGACTTTACATCTCGCAATTCTGACTTTACATCCCGCAATTCTGACTTTACATCTCGCAATTCTGACTTTACATCCCGCAATTCTGACTTTACATCTCGCAATTCTGACTTTACATCCCGCAATTCTGACTTTACATCTCGCAATTCTGACTTTACATCCCGCAATTCTGACTTTACATCTCGCAATTCTGACTTTACATCTCACAATTTTAACTTTACATCTCACAATTCAGACTTTTCTGACATTACATTTCGCAATTCTGACTTTACCTCTCAATTCTGTCTTTACATCTCGCAATTATTACTACATCTCACAATTCTGACTTCTCTGACTTTAAATCTCGCAATTCTTACATCTCGCACTTCTGACTTTTTTTTTGGAACTCTGACTTTACATCTCACAATTCTGACTTTTCTGACTTTACATCTTGCAATTCTGACCTTTTTTTTTTTTACCATGGCAGAAAAAAAGGTTATTGCAACCTTTTCATGTCACAATTCTGACTTTTCTTCTCACAATTGTATGTTTACATCTCACACTTCTGAATTTATGTCTCAAAATTCTAACTTTTAGATATAAACTTGCAATTCTGAGAAAAGTCAGAATTGCAAGCTTATATAAAAGTAGCAATGACCTCTTTATTTTTCATTCCTTCCGTATGAAATACCCAACACAAACATGTGTGATGAGAAGCTCCTGTGTGATCTGCAGCTGACCTCGTGTCCTCCAGAGGACACACTGCCTGAGGAGACGAAGAGCTGCTCGTGAAGATGCCGACTGTCAGGGGCCAGATGGAGGGTCATTAGCATCTCAGAGATAAAGAGCTCGTCCTCACGCAAGAGCAGCAGCAGGACCCTGAGGCTACACCCTGACATCTCCGGACTGGTCTGGCCGGTTCTGCGCTCCTCGCCGTTGAATGTGCATGCGAAGAGCTTGTAAACGAGAGAGGAAGCGAAGGTGTAGAGTTTGAGCGCCTGAGGCTAAGAGAGTTTAGACAGAGCTGCAATCACGCCTCGGGATCACTGTACACGCCAGTAACCTTCAGCAGGTCATTTCTGAAAGAGCCAGTGCAATACATGAAGAAACAAACAATTAATGCTTCTGTAAATAATTTACTAACGTAACAGCTTGTGAGAGCTTAACAATCAAACTTAACAAAACAGCACTGTGGACTATTACACTCTTACATTTTTTTAATTGGCATAAATCGTTGCATGAACTTTACCATTGCACAGAAGGTTCTTTACTTTGGAAAATGGTTCTTCAGATTATTAAAATGTTCTTTACAATAAGAAAAAATGGTTCTTTTAAGATCTGTTCAGTTCTTTGGGGAACCAAAAACGGTTCTTCTATTGTTTTGCTGTGAAAACTTTCTTAAAGAACCTTTATTTTTAAGAGTCTACCATAGTCCTTTCAAACATATACCATGATATTTGCATAATAATAAAATAAAATGAAATAAAATAAATGAAGAGAAAATTTGGGTATAGAATATACGAAAAATAGAATAATGTAAAAGAGGGAAAAATAAAATAAAATAAATAAATATTTGGATCTATATGAAAATAAAATAATAGGAAAAAATAAATTAAAATAAAATAATGAGGAAAACATAGAATAATGGGAAAAAATAATACAATAAAATATAAAATAATAAAATAAAAGGAGGGGAAATTTGGGTCCATTTGTAATAAAATAAAATAAACATGGTTTAACAATAGTCTATTTTTGTAAGCAAAAATATTTTATGTAGAAACATGTAAAACACACTTCTGATTTTTTGTGTAAACATTAACTGTAAAAATAATTTCTCTGCTGACAGCAGCACATGAAAACATTCACATAAACAGCGTCTGACAAGAGTTACGATGGGAATTCAGATCCTGTTGATGGGCTCTTGGGAACAAACTCCTGGCTGAATGTGCACATACCAGACAGCAGCAGCCAAACCTCACTGATGATTGTGTTCAAGTCGAGCACAGGCCTAAAAAAACAGGCCGAGAGACAGACAGACAGAGAGAGAGAGAGAGAGAGAGAGAGAGAGAGAGAGAGAGAGAGTGGCGTGTTTGGCCCGAGGCCTGGCAGCACAGATTTAAGAATGAGTTAGCGTGTGAAGGCTGTGTGTCGCTGCAGACCACGCCCGCACCTGTCAGGTGTTTGCTGGCATCAAACACACCAAACAACTGTACAGATCTGTGTCGCATGTCTTCACGTTCACATGTGAGCATGCAAAACCCTGCCGTTTCACTAATGCACTTGCTGCTCAGCGGCCCTGGAAACCGCTAAATATTTACACTGTCATTCTGAGAGTATGTGCTACTGAACACACACACACACACACACACACACACACGCACGCACACACACACACACTCACACTCACACACACACATGCATGCACGCACACACACAAATGAAATGTCCAGATTAAAGCCAAACAATACTCAGTTCTACAATAAAATGATGCAGCACCATTTCAAAACTAATCTGTGTGATCAATTTGTTGGTCAAGCTCAGACACATCAGCTATTAATTGTAAGACAATTGATTAATTACACATGATCAGGCTGCGTCTCCCAAAAGCATCGTAAGCTTAAGTTGATCGGAACTCCATTGGTGACAATTAATGATGCTTTTGGGAAACGCAGCCCAGGATGATTATAGGGAGCTAAAGTTATTTTCAAGAAATTAATACTTTTATTCAGTGAGGATGCATTAAATTGCTCAAAAGTGACTGTAAAGTCATTTCTAATGTTACAAAAGATCAAATAAATGCTGTTCTTTTGAACTTTCTGTTCATCTGTGAAACCTGAAAAATAAAATGTATCACAGTTTCCACAAAAATATTGTGCAGCACAACTGTTTTGAACATTGATAATAATCAGAAATGTTTCTTGAGCAGCAAATCAGCATATTAGAATGATTTCTGAAGATCATGTGACACTGAAGACTGGAGTAATGATGCTGAAAATACATCTGCGCATCACAGAAAAATATTACAGTTTAACAGAGATTCACATAGAAAACAGCTGTTTTAAAATGTAAAAATATTACACATTTTACTGTATTTTTGATCAAATAAATGCAGCCTCGGTGAGCAGAAAAGACTTCTTTCATGATCATCAAAAAATCTTTAAAAACATCTCAACAATGTCCCAAACTCAGCTCTGAGCTGCTTCACATTCATTTTATATCTCTAGACTCTGGTGACTCATTTGTGTCTATTTTTATTCCTCCTGAAGAATTTTAGAAGAAACATTTGACTGCTAAATTAAAAACAACTGAGATGGTCATTAAGTCCAGTGAGTGATGAAAGAGCAACACGCGTTTCCTCTGGGCTGAACTATTAACACAATAGCAGATAAACACAGAAAGTCTCAAAAGCTCGGCTGAAGATCATTCAGATCCACTCAAGAGTGTCCTTTGCTCAAACTCTGACATCAGAAACCTCTCATAAATGTGCCTACAGCACTTACTAATCTCAATGTTAATTTCAACATTTACATTAACAATTATTAATAAATGCGGTAGGAGTATTGCTCATTGTTGGTTCATGTTAACTAATGCACTAACTAATCCAACTAAACGTGGTTATTCTGTGGTTAAGCTTTCCTGAAAACGAGGGTTGATAAAAACATCCTTTCATTTCTGGATGGTTTGGTTGATTTTATACAGTGTAAAATCATCATCAAATATGTAAATCTGTCTCTGTTGAATAATAAAGTAATGTGATTGACATGCACCAGTGTTATAAAAGTTTATACTATTATAGTTTTTATTAATTTAGAATAAAATTTAAAATTCGATTTTTTAAAATATATTTTAGTTTTAATTTAAATTTGAGTAATTTTGTTGTTTGCGTTTCATTGTGTTTTAAATATGATAGATGTTTAATTACATTTTATTATAGTTAGTTTATATTTTTATTTTATTCATAGTTATTTCAGTTTTAGTTCTTTTAGTACATCAAGTTAAACTAAATGAAAATAAGCATTGTTGCATTAATAACCGTTAAGTTTTATTGATATATCATTTTATTTTAGTTATTTATTTTAAGTAACAAAAATGTTTTTATGGTTTTCATTTGATCTATTTTTAAAGTTATCTATATTAACCCTGACATGCAAATGAAGGCTAGTTAATAATTAAGTCCCTGGATCAGAAAAGGTTGACAAACCCTGTCACATACGTATGTAAGTATAAAGAACAAATATTGTAATGCATATATTATTTAATAATTCAGAATGGATGACTTGTCAATGAAGAATTCTCTTTATGTCTTAAAGTTTCGTGTTGTGGTGTCATGTTAAAGTTATATAAACCTGAACAATAGTTCAGCATCAGTGAAAGTATGCGGTCTGTCGACATCCATAAACTCTGGTGACCTCCTCACCGGCGCCTCTAGAGGATCAGCACATCACTGCAGCACGCACACACACA